TAAGATGGAAAATAAAGATAAGGATTATGGTGACATGCGAATGTGTAATCAAGACAACCTTGTGAGAGGAGGGAGGTGTGGTATAGTAAGGTCACTGGACTACCTCATTGAAGATCTGAGTTTTTTTGCTGGAGCACAACAGGCTAAATCTTCTATGCCCTGACAGTTGCTGAAGTCCATGGTCCATGTCCTGTGACTGTGACCAATGCAGGACAAGTACCAAAATCAGGATGTTCTGGGCCAGAGTAGTTGGAAATATATCCTATGAAACACAAATCCCCATGTATAATACATAAGAAATTCTGAGTCCACTAAAATCAGCGACAGAGATCCTATCACACGGTTTGAACCAGGATTTTACCACTCATGTATTTTCCATTAATTTAAAAAGCTACAAATCCACACAGAATTAATAGAGAATAAAACAATCCAGATTTAAATGGATATGAGTTATTTTTTATCAAGTAGGACAGTGGTCTTTTTTGACTACTAGCCAGCTGGTCAATTGTTTATTGATTCACAAAGTAAATACCAGCTTCAGCTTGGTAAGTACTGAATGCCCCAAGATCCTGACAAGCAAGTCACACCTGGCAGATTTTCAATCTTGCCAAATCAGGCAAGTGAGAAAACAAACACTAAGCCTACTTTTTCCCAAGTACTAACTAGATTTTTTAGGAAGTGTAAGGTGTTATTATAAATTATAAGCCTTAATCTAGCATGTTCAAAATACAGTTGCAACTAGAGCTATGTGGTTGGACTGCCAAATACTCATTCCGTTTCCATTTGAGGGCAGTGAGAAAACCTTTTTTTTCCTAAGTGTCAATAAATTTGTGGCCAACTCTATAAATAAGCACCAAATAGATTTTGTGGGATGGTTCGATTTCCATTAGGTTCCATCTTCAAATATTAGTGGTCTGATTTCCTTGTTTTTAATTCCAACAAATGGCAGCTGCTATGAAATGTAGACTTGTGGGAGTGCTGGACTTTAAATGAAAAATTAACCGCAAATGAAACCCTAACAGCAGTTTTCTGCTTTTAGGTGACATTCAAAGCTGCATTCCAGCAAGCATCATTTTAGCTGCACTGCTCTAACAGGGACTAAACCTGTTATTCAGGTTTCCTGAAAATAGCAATACAAAGCATTTTAAATAATAGCTTGACTCTTTATCTTCAGAAAATTTGCCAGAATGTAATAGGATTAACTTAGAAAAAGCCTAAGCATTATTTCTGTCTTTTGGAAAGATGCAGGATTAAAAAACAGACTAATTATTCTCAAAATGGATCTGTGCAATTTCTGCTGCAACCTCTAAATCACAATAAATGAATGTTTAAGGAAAAAAGAGCATTGGAAATCTACATGGAAGGCACACTAAAATGAAGATCTTTAACATGGTCTTCATTAACTGCATTAAAAAATAGTTATATTAAATAGAGAAAAGATATTTCCATCACTTTTAATCATGTGTCTTTAAAGATGACATGCAGTATTCAATTTAACTTATTACAAAAATACCAGTATGTGCAATATATATTTCTCAACATATACTGGTTTACCTGTAAAAGTTTAAAATATGTATTCTGAAATCTGTTAAACTACAATGGCTCTGCTCCAGTGAAGTACTTTAATGGCTTAACTACCATAACTGCAGAAGATCCCTGCACGCATTACTGTCAAGCTAATTTATTTGAATATTTCATATTAGGTAAATCCAGAACAAATAGTTAGCACCTTCAAGACCCAGGCATGGTATTTTCACATCTCCCTTGGATCACCATTTGGGTAAAAGTGTGCTTTTACACTGGAAGTGGCTATGTAAAAATCTGAATAATATTTTTCCTTTGTATTTCAGATTGAACGGTATGAATTACTTTTGACCTCTCAAGTCTGCAGGTAGTGCTGTGAAGAGGAACATCTGCAAATTATTCTCTTTCCTTTTTTTTTTTTCTGTCCAACATCAACAGAATTATTTGGTACATTTCAGTGGTACTGCAGATCCAACACAATTGGCCCCAGAGTCTTCACATCTTGAGTTCCTGAAGTGGGTAATGGTATCATATGGAAGAAATATCAGCAACAGGAAGCTTTCTGATTTCTTTTTTTCACATCAGCCTCCCCTGGTTGGAAAAAGAGTTTGCATATATCAATGGATATAAAATCTGAAGAAAGTATGAAGCAATTTTGCTGATCACATATATATACGTATGTATGTATACAAATATATATGCAAGCTTGATGATAGAAACAGTGTTATTCAGGTCATGAAGCTTAATTTTTGTTTCATTTGGGAAAAAAGCAATTACTATGTCCAAAATAATTCATTCAGAGATTGATGGGTTTTAAATGGATTAATTCATTCTATACAAGTAGGGGATAAAGACCATATTGGAGAAAATTTAAATTCAGTTCAGTCTTTCATACATTTACACCTTTATGACAGAACTGGATCTCAGTAGATGGATTAAGTCTGTATTCAAACTAATTTATACCAGAAATTCTGTAATCACTGTGATTTTGTTTGTTCTCAAGAAAGGAAATGGGGAAGACATATATAATTTGAAAGTGGTTTTTTACATAACATTGTAAGATTTTGTGTACACTGGTTGTTAGGTGCATAAAACTGAATGTGAGCCCTTCATTCTTGCTATCTAGATCACTTTTTTTGTATCTGTTTTCTGTGGCAAGCAGAAGGAAAAGGAGTGTGAAAAACATTTATTCCTTTTCCATCAAATTTCTTTATCTTGAAGCAAGCAAAATGCTAAAACAAAAATTAAAACCAGAAGAGCTATAAACCAGAAAAACTATAGAACTATAAAATAAAAAAAATATGATTGTCACAGGCAAGATCTATTTAAGTACTCTAAAAGCTAAAAGTAACGACTTTTTCATTCTGAAAATTAGGCAAGGTAATGTAGTGGTGCTGTTAAAATTACATGTTTTGCACAACAGTTCAAATTTTGAATCTCAGGAGATACATGGTATTTCTGTTCCTTATGTGCACAGGGATACCTCCCAGACAGAGAATAGAAAAACTCTGTATCACAGACAGAATCTGACATATGCCTATTAAAGACTTGAATAATACATGCGAAATTAATATTAGAAATCCAACACTGGAAAGATAAGAAGACTTGTCTAAACCATATGATCTGTTAAACATTGCATCACTTCTTATAGAGTACACTTTAGTAGGTTGGGATCAAGCTGCCACACAGCTGTGTGGAGGACAGACTTCAGACATCTAACTTCCAGTTATGAATCCCTCTCTTATGAAATCTGGTTTGGATAACAAGAATAGTAATTCTTCCTGCAGCCAGGTGAGAAATGTATAATCGAAGTATACAGTTTGGGGTTTTGTGGGGGTTTTTTGTTTGTTTGCTTTTATTTTATTGCCATCTCTGTTACATATATTTCTAGGTCTTAGTTTTCCTGTACAAGATGTGTATCTTTTTTTATGTGGTAAGTTCTCGAAGTAATGGATTTCTTTAATTTATTTTTTTATTTTCAGTCTTAAAATACAATCAGTGTCACATATGCAGAAACTGGATGAACATAACTGGATCAAAACATGACTCACTGCGTTAATAGCATGCTTCTGGGCATTACAGCAGTATCTTGGAAATTTAAATGTATTCAATCAACCCTACCAACAGTCAAAATAGATTTTCAGTCTAAACTGTGTTACTGTGATACTCCACAGTTACAAGAGTCTTAAAGACAGATTAAAAATGAGAAATTTGAAAACTGTTTTTCCATGTTTTATCAACAAACCTACAGTAGTCTCTATGAAAACTGTTATGCCCTACCTTGTGTGTACAAAAACCAAACTTTGCCATATTTAACTGCAACATTCCAGATTCATGCTGGTATAACACGAGAACAGTATTTTACTCTTTAAGGAGCCCTAGTAGGGCAGATGTTCTTATTTCGGAATAATATATTGCAGGAAAGTTATCATACTCATTGGTTTTTATACTTACAGATGATGATTTTTGTATTAGTTCTGCTCTTTTTATTAGTTCTGCCTAAGATGCAGATAATTTTCCCCACAGCAGCTCTCACAGGACTGTGCTTTGCATTGGCAGCTAAAAAGGTGCTGATAACTGTCGCTGTTGTGACAGTCAAGAAAGACACAAGCAGTCTAGTTTAGAGCAGAATACAACTGGTCTGTTGGCTCCCTAGCCCCCTTGGATGAGGATGTCGACTTTGCAAACTTTCGAGTGTATCCTTGAGATGAGGAAGTCATGTACAGAACCCTGAAGAAGGAACAGTCTTGGCATAACAAAGTGATCCACAAGGAATATTCGCCCCTTCCCGTTGTAATTTCCAAACCAAAGGATGTGCTTGTTTTATTATTACGTCTGTATCATGGTTTTTTTTTAATCTCAGACAGAAATCCAAGATGTCAGGTGAATTTTCCGTTGAACAGCAGCGTTTCTCCAACATTCCTGCTGAAGTTCCAACTTGGAAAACTTTACTGCTGTTAATCACCAGGAAATTTGAGTGACATACCTAGAAAATGCATCCACAGCCTTATATTGTCTATTAAATTAATTGCAAAAGCCATGTTGTCTTCAGTGGATGGAAAATGAGCTCCTGGATTGTGCCCTAAGGGTGTCAAAGTATCCCTTGACCCCCTCTTGCCTTCACTGCTCATTAAATGGTTGAATAACCCCAATTAATGCCACTAATAATTGATCACATGAACTTATTGTCACTAATATTTGCTCTAAGAACAGGAAGAGACCACTTCAAGAAAAAAGTAATTGTCCTTCCCTTTGTCAGAGCTCAACAAAAGTGCTGGTGGTTATTTTTCAACATTATTAAACACATTATTTCACTAAAATTAAATAATCTGGGGAAACTGCAGGAAGATTAAATATGATGTAAAGGCTTTCTGGCCAAACAAACATTACTCTTAACTTATTAATGCTATTTTATTATATAAACAGTGCTTTTTAAGGCTACACTTAATGTAGTCTTGAATGAGTCCCCCGCCGCCATGTTCAGGGGGCTCGGCAGGTGCTTTGAGGAGGATCCCTTCTTCCAGCGATCCTGCCCACCATGAGCACATGAGGCAGATGATGAGGAGCTTCTCAGAGCCCTTCGGGAGGGAGCCGTTGCTGAGCCTGCCAGAGGGCAGGGACAGAGCCGACAGAGCGCTGCAGTGGAGAGCACGCCCAGACTCCCGGCTGGCTCCTCGGGGGAACCGCAGAGATGCAGATTTTGGGGATCCATTTTCTACCATGGACAGGATGATGTTAAACATGAGGAACAGTATGCTGGAAATGCACAGGAAATTTGATGACCTGTCCACGTACCCCAATGGACACATGTTCAGCTCCTCCTCCATGATGACTTTCTCCAAAGTGGAGGATGAACCTCCAAAGGTTTTCCAAGCCTCAACCCAGATTCGCACAGCCCCGGGAGGTGTTAAGGAGACAAGAAAAGCACTTAAGGACTCTGAAAGTGGCCTGGAACAAATGGCCGTTGGCCATCACATCCAGGATTGGGCTCATGTCATCAAAAACTCCAAGAACTGCAAGACTGGGGATGAGGAGATGAACCAAGAATTCATCAATCTGGATCAATATGAGGTCCAGAGCTTTGATGAGGAGTAGCAGAAGGAGGTCTTGAAGTTCAAGCCAGAACTAGAAGTTCTTTAGAAGCTCCAAAATACAGAAGTATCAATTACAAGGAGAATGGATCAAGAAGAGAGAAGCTACTTGGAACTGGAGATTCCAGAGTGTCCAAAGATTCCTTGGAGTCTCTCAGTGTGAAAGGAACACATGTCCCCCTCAACAAAAGCAGCAGGAAGTAAGTGGCCCCATTCCCCTGAGATGGAGTTTCTCCAGAGCAGATAATGGTGCTCATGTCCGTACAAATACACAGAATACGTGACCAATCTCTGTGTTGTACCTTTGCTCCTCCTGAATGTTCCTCAACCTTCAGCTCCTCAGTTAAACCCTCTCCTTTCAGTGAACTAAAAACCCAACCACTTTCTGCCTAAAGCACTTTATGGATTATCACCAATTCTGTTTAAAAAAGAATTGATTTGCAAAGTTTTTCTGCTACAACTGCACCAGTCTCACACTTTATCAAGCCTGGCAGTGCAGATACTTTTCCCCACTCTATAAGTTGCACAGAAAATAAATTCTCTTCAGTTTGTGTGTCTGAAATGATTTTTAGGTGATACTTAATAGGAATACAAATACATTAGAGCCAACAGACCAGCTGTGCACCCCCACAGATAACACACCAGCGCTCTGACTACAGCTGAGCAGTGCTGGCACAGCATCAGCTCTGTCTCTCCAATATTCCCCCCTCACAAGTAGGATGGGGCTGGTCCAAATCCTGGGAGCGGACATAACCAGGACAGCTGACCCAAACTGACCAAAGGAATATTCCATACCGTATGATGCCTTCCCAGGTATAAAAGCTAAGAGAAAGGAAGAAAATGGCAAGGGAGAATGGCGGGGGGGAGCATTATTTACATTTACCTTCTGTAGCAACAACTACTTGTGCCAAAGCCCAGCTTCCAAACAGGTGGCAACATCACTTGCTGATGGGAAGTAAAAAATAAATCTTTTGATTTTTTTCCTTTGCTCGCATGCACATGACCCTCAGTTTTGCTTTAGTAAGCTGCCTTTATCTTGATCTGCAAGGGTTTTTTCCCACCTTATTTTCTCTCCCCCCGGCCCCCATCCTGTGGAGGAGGGAAGTGATAGAATGGCTTGGTGGGCCTGTAGCATTCAGCCACGGTCAACACACCACAGTCTTAAAAATCTGTTAATATTTGATAATAACAGGATTTTTTGAATTACAAATTTTATCATATCAGCTTTTGAAAATACTACTTCCTGTTACTGAAAAGAATGAAGGCAGAAATATATTCGTCTGAGGGTACTTCTTTCTCTAGTCTCTTAAATGTTTACTTGACATTTGTTTCAATGCAATATGAGTAACACTGGAAAGATTCGCTGTGGCTGAAGTGAAATAACAATATTTTTATCCCTAAAAAGAAACTCAAAATTTCACTGTCCTAAATAACAATGAAAGGACAAGGTTAAAAAAAAATAAAATGAGGTAAAAAATGAAGTCTTAAAAATCTTTCCAAAGAAAATTCCAAAAAGAGGTGTAATTATTTATTTATGTATCAAACCTGAATCTTGTATGAATATGTTTTTATCTAGTTGATGAAAAGTTATTGTGAAATCAAAAGAATGCCAAATTTCAGGGGTAATACCTGTGTGGTAATCATAAGGAATTTCAATATTGTATTCATAGATATTCAAAGTTTCAAGGACCACGGGACTGAAATATGAGACCAACAAAATCTTGATGATAGTATAAAGTTCATGGGGTAGAAAGAACTCCTTGCTCAGCATTTTGTTGGAGGGTAATGTACTCAGTATATAACAGTGCATCCCTTATTACTATGGATATGTATCAGCAGTTTTTCATAGAGACTGAAGTAAGAGAATAATTAAATTGTTAATGTACACAATTACGAATGTGTATAAATATTTAATGTTCATATTGATACATTAGTCAGTATAATGATGATGATATATTAATTATTGCTTTAATTTCTTTACTGACTACTATTTACTATGAAAAATTTAATTGTTACAGATGATGGTCTCTTCTGTTTAATTCTAAATTCTTTCTTCCTTTCTCTGTCTTGCAATCAAGTGTTTTCATTTATTAAATTGTATCTTACAAATAGGTTCAATCATCTCATCAAAATATATTCCCAATTTAAACTCATCATGGCAAAGCACTGTGCATACATAATCAGTGGTATTCCTCACCGTTTAGTATGTGAGTGGATACAGCTATCATATTCATAACAATCCACAGTCAATGATTTTGACTATGCAAGCAATGCTAAATTAAATAATTTATATTTCAGTTTTCTGAAATACAGAGAAAGAAAGATGGAAAAACTTAATATCTGGAGGATAATAGGAGTAGATGTCTGATAGAATGCTTCTTCTATAAATAACTAAAGACACCATATGGAATGACAAAAATTTGGGATGTTCTTCTTTGCTTCCACCTTATATTGGAGAATTTATGTTATTTACAGAGATGAGGTATTTGCACTTATTTTTATTCTATATCTATTCTTTCATATTATTCATTTTTCAGTGTAAATTAGACTAAACTAGATAGCTCCCTGGGATATACTAGTCATCAGAAACTAGTCATCATGAAAATTCCAATGACAATGCATTGAGCTCTTTGTGGTAGAAATTGTATGCTGTTGACACTTCTCCCGTGCATTTCATATGCTTTCTCAGTCACTCTGTTAGCACAGAGAAGCTAACTTAATTGTAAAGTTTTTATTTGGTTTTTAGCTGCCTTTCCTTTAAATTCAGAAGAGACTGTACTTTCTTCTGGTCTAAGAGTGGTAGAAACCAAGCTTTGTCCAGCTTCAGGAGCTAGCAGCAGCAAATACTAATGAGGTACTGCTGGCCACATTGGCCAGTGCTGCCTTGCAAGAGGGAATTTCCCTGTTTAAAGAGGAATGGATCAAATTGAGAGCACAAGAAATTGGTATCTGGAACAGAGAAAGGTGAGAGTAAAAGAAAATGTCTGAAGTGCAGAACAGGGCCTTTTGTACAGTCTTCAAGTTTTTACGTTATTTTGTCTTCTGAACTGTCACTGCAAAGTCCCTTTTTAAACGTATCATGTAATTACATTTTTGAGTATGTGAGTATTGAAACCCTTACCTTTTGGAAACATCAGTTGAAAGACCATTCCAGGTAGACCAGCCAACACTGAAACTCTAAATTCCTCTTTTTCACATCACAAAATCAGGACACAGTTCAGGACATTTGGTGATCTCTGCTCAACACATGACCAAGAAAAGATAGCAGGCTGGTCACAAGTGCTGTGAATTCACATAGACCTGTCACAAACTTGGATGGTGGTTGTCTCTGTTACACATGACCCAGATTAGTGCTGTTTTCCCATTGCTTTTGGGAGAGCGCATTTACTCAAGAGTAACTTACCAAACTCTGTTGTGCAGTACTGCGTATGCAGATAGTTTGTCTGTAGTTGGCTTAAATGTTACTGTGATGCATCTCTTATAATTTGTATCTGATACTTCAGACTGTTATGAAACACAACTCAACCTGTAAATCTGAAAGACAGATTCACAGAATGAATATTATATTATTTTCAATATCAGTAACCATAATATGAGGAAAAGTTGATCAAAAGACCTATCTTCCACTGTTAAAAAAAAAATCCAGAATCCTTGTGGAGAGTAAGGAGGAAAAAAAATGTTCAGTTCAGAACAAGAACCAGGAGTTTTCAGGGAAATACCAAATTGACACAGAAATACCGTGATGATTCGGAGTCGGGTTCCCCCCCCCACCCTCTCCCCATTTCTGAAAAGTTGTACTATGGGGCAGTTATTCAGATGAAATTGAGCCAGGACACTTTCACTTTCAAGATCCATATATCTGTATCTGACTTTCTACTTTTTTATTCTGAGCTCTTCATAGCAAACTGCTCATAGTAAATATTGATCTTATCAAGCTACACTTCTTAGTTTGAATACTTTTTTCTTTGGAAGGGGGGAGGATTGGGAAGAACTTTCTCTAATCCTTATAGAATCATACCTACATAGAATTCAATTTTTTTTCAGTATATTCTTACATGTCATATTTGGATAATTCTTTACAAGAGTCAAACAAGGAAATTATATCCAAATTTGTTCTTCCTTGTATACATAAAAGTTCTGAGTCTTTAAAAAGGTTATGTATTTCAGGTAATACTTCAGAAATTAAATCAAATTAAAAAACTAAATATTGCTTATATTAGAAAATTCTATATAATTTCTCCCCATAGGGCTTATCTGTATCTCTGCCTCCCAAGATTTACCCACACAAACACAATAGTTTTTTGGACAACTATTTCTCCCTTTCTGCTGAGATGTTTTATATCACTTTTTTTTTCTCTTTTTTATTAGTGGGAAGCGATACCATCCGGAGTGTCCCTGACTGGCTTGAGGAGTAGGCACATCTGAACTCCGTGAAATTCAACGAGGCCAAGTGCAAGGTCCTGCGTCTGGGTCAGTGCAACCCCAGTATCAGGACAAACTGCTGGACAAACTAAGATCAGCTGCCCTGCGAAGCACTTTTGGATATTGTTTGGTGAAAATTGGACATGAGCTGACAATGTGTGTTTGCAGCCCAAAATAACAATAGTATGCTGGGCCTCATGGCCAGTAGATTGAAGGAGGTGATTTTCATCCTCTTCTATGCTCTCATGAGATCACACGTGGAGCGCTGTATCAGCTCTGAGCCCTCTGTACAAGATGTGGACCTGCTGGAGCAGGTCCAGAGGAGGACCACAAAAATGGTCAGAAGGCAGGAGCATCTCTCCTACGAAGACAAACAGTGAGATCTAAGTTGTTCAGCCTGAAGAGGAGAAGGCTTCTAATAGTGGCCTTTCAACATATAAAAGGAGCTTATAAGAAAGAAGGAGATAGACTTTTTACCAAGGCCTTTAGTGACAAGGCCAATGTTTTTAAACTGAGAGTAAATTGAAATTGGATATAAGGAAGAAATTCTTTAAGATGAGGGTGGAAAAAAGCTGGAACACGTTGTCCAGAGAGTTGAATACCTGAATCTTTTATATTTTTATCAAGTAGACGAAAAGTTATTGGGAATTCAAAGATGTCCCATCTTTGGAAGTCAGCTTGGATGGGGTTTTGAGCAACTTGATCAAGCGAAAGATGTCTCTGCCTATGTTAAGGGGACTGGGTAAGATGATCATTATAGATCTCTTCTAACCCTTCAAATT